ACTGGTAGGAAAATAATTTATTTATTCTTCCTGAAAATGTCTAATAGACTATTGATAGTTTTGGCCAGAATACATTGGACAGACACTTTCAATGAATAATTTAAATATTCATTGAAATATGATATCTTTGACACTGATTATAATAATACTAGTGGCCTTGTGCATGAATTTGTGCACATTAAAGGAAATTAATTATAAGAAATATTTTAATATCACAATTTGCCATTTCTCTATAATAGAATTGTCAGAGATGAAAGAAAATTAGTAAATGTATATTAAAATAATATATAAATTGATTAATAAATAAATAATAACAGCATGATATAACAACATTTAAAATAGGGTTGAATGTGTCCCGGATAGAGAGATGAAATCCATAACACTGCATTTGTGTGACTCGTGTCCTTACATTTTGTCTAGTATTATTCTTTTTTTTTTTTAAATATATTTCTTTATTGATTTCAGAGAGGAAAGGAGAAGGAGAGAGAGATAGAAACATCAATGATGAGAGAGAATCATTGATTGGCTGCCTCCTGCACACAAACTACTGGGGAACAAGCCCACAACCCAGGCATGTGCCCTTGGCTGGAATCAAACATGGGACCTTTCAGTCCACAGGCTGATGCTCTATCCCCTGAGCCAAGCTGGCTAGGGCTTGTCTAGTATTATTGTTGATTACACTGTCATCTCTGAGTCTTAATGCAATATCTGTTCTTTTTCACCATGTAAAAAAGAATAGGACATGTCATTGCATATAATGTAGGAAACAGGATACAGTGGGGCCTTGACTTACGAGTGTCCCGACTAACGAGTTTTTCGAGATATGAGCCGTCTCTCTGCCGATTTTTTGCTTTGAGTTGGGAGCTAAAATTTGGGTTTCAAGCCAGCTTCAGATATCCCACCGCTAGTTGGCGCAGCGAACATCACAGTGAATGCCACAACATCAGCCCAGCATCACGTGTCTCACTCGTTCACTTTAATGATTTGACATATGAGTAATTTGAGTTACGAGCTCCGTCACGGAATGAATTAAACTCGTAAGTCAAGGCCCCACCGTACTGATTTGTTTCATCTTAGTGGCATTTGGATTATTGGGATCTAGTTTACAATGAACGATGCCAGCTTCTTTTGGTTTCAGAGGTACGTGTGACAATAGTTGATCTTCAGACATATTCTGTCAAAGATGCCACTTTCTTTAGGCTTCAGAATGTCAACAAAAACAACCAAATTTATAATCGACAATGACAGTTCGAAACACATGCGCCAGCGGGAGCTTTATATGTATTGTGCATGTGTGAGTCGAGTTAGCCTTTTATATACATAGAATAAAACTTGCTTGATTAGACCTGCTTTCTGATTTAGCTAAACTTTTTCCAGCCCAGTGAAGCATCCCAACTTCTCTTTCAGGTAACTGACAGCAACACAGCAGTAAATATCAACACAACACAGATTATTATTGTAGATCACGCAGGGAGAACAAAGGATAAAATACTTGACTGTAGCAGTGTTTGACTATATTCTGCCCAGGGATGTCGCCACAACCAAGGTACAGTCCCTTGACCAGAATCGAACCTGGGACCCTTGAGTCCACAGGCTGATGCTCTATCTACTGAGCCAAACTGGTTAGGGCAGGTCCACCATTTCTTACTTCTTTTCAGTTGGGTTAAGTTTCTAAACTTTCCAAATATCTGTTTTTCAGCTAATGAAAAGAAAATAGGATTCTACTGAGTCTCCCTCCTATCTACCTACTCCAGGACTTCTGTGAGGATCAAATGAGATGAGGCACATGAAAATGCTTCACAAACATTTGGTTAAACTGTAAAATGTTTGCACCTGGCTATAAAGCAAGTCATGTTCCTGGGCTGAAGAAACTCCAAAGGAGGCTAGTCGCTAGGGAGAGGAAGCCAGGCATTGATACATGGTGTCATTACCTGGCACCCACAGGGACTGTTTCCGGGATGGACTGGGCTGTGGGCCACATTTTGCACCATGGGGGTCTTGGAAGTGTCCAGTGCAATTAGGTAGGGTGTCGCTCCAGGGTGGTGGCAGGGCCTGTGTCCCACTTGGGGAAGCCAGGTGTTAGTTTGTTGGTGCCAGGTCCATGGTGCCGTTTATTTTTAAATGGCCAGTGTGCATCATGGCAGCTCCTGCATTAAGCGTCTGCCCTTTGGAAGTCAGTGCACATCATAGCTTCCGGGTGGAGGGAAGGACGACACTTAGCCTTTTATATATATAGATTTATTGAACATTTCCTATACATCAGGCAATGCTTTAGGTGTATGTGAATTAATTATGGACTTCTTCTAGGTCCCTATAGGTAAGTAAACACTATCATTCATGTTTTACCAATAGGGAAGCTAGGATCAAGTCCCAGGGCCAGCAAGTGGCAGAGGCAGAATTTAAAATGAAACCTTTTGATTACAGAGTCTACACTTCACTAGTATGTTGCTCTGATTAAAGTGTGTTGTGGTTGTGGTCAAGGGAAGGATGTGGTGTTAAGACAGAGACAGGAGGAAGAGACACTTGGACTGCTCATACTTCCTTGTTTCCTCGAGTTTCTTTTTCTTTGGTCCAGGTAATTTATTTGCTTCCATATTACTCTGAATGCACCTTGTGGCAATGCCTTTGTGAGGAATATAAATGCCATATATGCCATATATAACATTTTTTCAGCTTCTATGTCTATATGCCAATCCACTGAAATTATAGTGGGAGCAATTCTGCTCCTTATTTGGAATCTAAGGTCACCTACAGTGCCCAAAGTTTCATAGTCTGAGTACAATAGCCCCAACATCTCAAGTTACCTTTATCTCTAGCTCTGTATATCAGCTTAACATTCCTATACACAGCACACCTGTTGCCCAATTACTCTTAAGTTCTTTGTCTGAACTATTCTTCCTGAAATCCCAATATCTATTCTGCCTATAGCCTTTTGAATTAGCTCTGTATACTTTTTCTTATTTTTGTTTGCATATCTTACTTTTCTCAATAAACTCTTTTGGATTGTCATATACAGTCATCGCTTGGTATCCATGGGTATTGGTTTCAGGACCCCCTCATACCCAAATTCACAGCTGTTGAAGTCCCATGTATAAAATGGCACAGTATATGCATAGAAGCTACACACATCATCCCACATACTTTACATCATCTCTACCTTACTAATACCTAATATATTGTAAATGTAATGTAAATAACTGTGACATTGAATTGTTTAGGGAATAATGACAAGAAAAAAGTCTGGACTGTTCAGTAGAGTTGCAACCATAATAAGCCTAACTACATAACACATGTCAGAAACAATGTAACGCATTTTTTTGGAATATTTTTGATCTGTGGTTGGTTGAGGTTATGGATTTGGAACCCATGGATATGGTGGCCCAACTGTACTCAGCATCTTTTGATGAAAAGCTGGTCATATCTTAGTTGCCATTAGATGCCACAGAGTTGGTGTCTTTGGTAATCTTTTTATGACAATCACAAATGGGGAACAGAGATTTTGACACTGCACATTCACCTGACAGTGTGGATTGATATCAGAAATACAGGGTGGGGCAAAAGTAGGTTTACAGTTGTGAGTACATGAAACACAAAGTTTATTCTTGTATCATTATTTGTTAAATTTTGTATCATTTTCCATATGAACAACTGTAAACATACTTTTTCCTCACCCTGTACACTAATAGTCTAAGGAAGCCAGGCACAAAATAATACATGAAGTATGAGTCAATTTATGTATTTTTTTCAAAATGGCCAAATCTAAATTGTAGTGTTTTATGAGGTAAGCTGATATGATAAAGAATAGCAAAATGAAGGATATTATAAATGGAAAAACAAATGGTTTTTTTTAGAGGAAGGAAAAACTGGTGATTGGATAGGGTACACCAGGGGCTTCTAAGTTACTATTTCTTGACATGGATATCAAGTGACTAAGTGGCTACTGGCTTTATAATTATCACTAGCATCACGCTCTATGTTCCTTTCTGTATTTATGTGTTACATATATAATAAAAGAGCATTAAAAACACACATCTGCTCTCCCCACCCTGAAGCCAAGTGAATGAATGACCTGAGCAGACCATGCTGCCCTGCCCCCTCCATATGATAAAAGGGACATAATATGCCTGAATTGGCTGCTTGTAAGTTAATAATAAATATATTTTGCTTCTCCATGATTCCTGAGCAGTATTCTTGGTTTGACTCTACTTCAGTGGCAGATGGGAGAAAATTATGACTCTAAACCTGGAACCCTTAGTCTTGCATCTTCATGTTGAGCTCAGATATAAGAAAATTTTAAAGATCTCACAAACTATTGGACATTTTTTGGCCACATTTAGGAGGTTGTTCATCCTTGCTTAAATTCCACAAGTTAAGCAGATGATGGCATGTAAAGAGGGATTGGTTAGTATACTTTTTCCACTGTCACAATCAAATCACACAATGATTCACTGAATTCTAAGAGGTTCTAATAAAGCATCTAAATCATGCTGTCTCTTTCCTTATATACTGATTTCCTGTCCTTTAATGCACATGCCCAGTATTCTCATGCCCTGGGGACACCTCACTAGTTGTTTTGTTCTGTGATATACTAGAATTAAATCAAGTTGTTACATTTTTTTATCTTAAAATTTTTTATTACTATTAACAGCTTCTGAAAACATTTCCCAAAATTTATTTTAGTTTACAATAATGTCTCCCAGTAAATATTTCACTATAAGCAACACTTTATAAATGTTAAAATTCTCTAAGAAATTATATTAAAACTTACAGTATTTTGCAAGTTTATTATGAAACTAGAGGCCCAATGCACAAAATTTGTGCAATGGTAGGCCTACCTTTCCCTGGCTGCCAGCTTCTTGGTCCTGGCTTCAAGGCCTCACTCCCCAGCCCCACCCTGCACCTGCCTTGGCCTGGTGCTGCCCATGTCTACTACCACATACACCCGGTTCTCCAGTTCCCCCTGATCAATCGCCCCACAGAGGGTGACCTGAGCTTCACTCTTTGGGTCAATCATGGAGCCCCCTGATTGATTGCCCCACCAGCGGTGGCCTGGGCCTCCCTCGGTAGGGTGATCATGGGGTGATGGCCTGGCCCCCCTGACCAATTGCATTGCACCTGCCTTGGCTGGCCTGGCACCAGTACATGTCATAGTGTGGTCATCTGGATGGTCATTTTGATGTTCGGCCGTTCAGTCTGCCGCAACCTTTGCAGCAGAGTTCAGGATCTAAAGGAGGGGCTGAGGCACAAATGAAAATACTATACAAGAAATATGAATTTAGAAGGCATGGGGGCCAGGTGGAAACCTCTCTCTAGGAGAGGCACGCCAACTTCTAGCCGGTCTGCTTTTAATTTACTTGAATACACATTTGCCCTTTAGCAATGCATACAGGCATATCAAAGGCAAAGTTTGGTAAACAGTAAAAGGATTATCAGGTTAGGGAATTGCCTTCAACCATTGAGCCCACAGCAGGGCAATATTATGCTGATTTTTAGCCCTGCTGAATATCAAAGTCCATTGGCCTTCCAGTGGGTCTTTTTGCATCAATATGCTAACTACTGTTGGTTTTAGCCTCTGGCATAGTCGATTTGCATATAATGCTTTTATTATTATAGATGAGCTTTTCTTGGGTGGTGTGTGGTGGCAATGCCTGATCTAATGCTGTGTCTACTCAGGAATGGTGTCCTTTTCATTTTCTAGAGGGTCATCGTAACCCTTACTATCTATCTAAGTATTTATCTTTGTTATGCTAAATTTATTGCTGATCTCTTACAAGAATTCATTAAGTTGTAGCATATTTCTTCCACCTGAAGCCAAAGCATTGCTATCTTATTTGGCAGCAAAATTTTATATCCAATTACAGTTTTGAATATTGTGAACTTGTTACCCTCTTTATAGACCTGGGTTATAGACTCCATTTTTGTAATGGACCCAGAATTTGTACTCTTCTTAGTACCCCAAGGATCCACAGATGTGCAGAAGCCCTTAAATCACAGCTACATGTTTCATGTCACTCTGGCCCAACTTGTTCCAGCTTAAACAGCATTTTTTTATTTTTTTCCAATTTGTGAATCTAGCCCCAAAGTCCCATGCATTATTATCCAGAATAAGAGTAAGTCATCACACTTGCCTAAAAGGTCCTATATGACTACCCTTCATTTCTTCCAGTGCTCCTTTTTACACATTATACTGTAGCTAACCTGGCTTCTTTGAGTACCCTGGGCATGCTCACACAGTTGTCTACTTGGCTCATTGCCTCACATATACCCTTCAGCTCTTTGCTCAACTCTTAACTCCTAAGTGGGAAATTCTCTAATTTACTTAAAAGAGCAAACTACCACCTCCACTAGTCACTTACTATTCCCTTATTCTATTAATTTTTTCTATAGCACTTATCTGACACACTGTATTTTGGGGTTTTTTTATGTTTTACTTCCACTGTCATTTCCAATTTTTTTCATTTATGTTCATAGCACAAAGAATTATGATGGACCCATAGTAAACTGGTGACTGGTAAATGTATTGAATTGATGAACCATACTTTTCATGAGGAATTCATTTGAGGAATTAGTAACAGAAAAACTCATCTTCTTAAAAATTGCATTTATTTTATTTTCAATTTAAATTTTTAAAAGTCTCCTTCAATAGATTTATAGGAGAATTTATTTTATACAAGTATTGTTGATCTGATTATATGCATTTTGTGATTCTTGGGTGCTTTTCTTCTTAGGTTTAGGCATTTTAGAACCCTTGGGACATATAGATTTTTACCCAAATGGAGGAGAAAAGCAGCCTGGCTGTCCTACAACAATATTTGGAGGTATATGAATAGTATTTTTATATGAATTACATATGATTCAAAATGATGAAAGAAAATCAGTATTTTTTTTCTCCTTTTAAACTGTGGGGCAAAATTTTGATCACTATTGCCATGAATTGGGAGTTATTGGTGAAAAATAGTTAAGTACTATCCTTCTTAGTTTGTAAAGTTTACCAGTAGATATAATTATGGTCATGGATGAGAACTAGTACACTATGAATTGATGAGAACTAGTACACTATGAATTAGCAGTTTTAGTTCTTAATTTTAACATTAGGAAAAGTTTTAAGTCATTGAAAGTGCACATGTAGCCAACCAAGTATCATATACCACAAGTCTGGCCTCACAATTTAATCTTTCCTGTCACCATAATATTGTATAAACACATATTTATAAATTCTTGCACTTTGTTGTTTTGTACATAAATAGCTTAGAAACTTCTTCATGTATGGGATTGGGCTAACTTCAAAGCCTTAGAGATTAATGCTCTGAGTTCCACAGTGATTAGGAACACATTGCTAGATGCCACTGCAGCAACAGAAGTTTGCTCAAAGGGATAAGGACATTGGAGGTTGGCAAAGGAAAAGGGACATGATAAAGTTTTTAAAATAATCCTCACCTGAGAATATATTTTTCTAGAGAGAAGAAGTGAGAAAGAGAAAAAGAGAGAGAGAGAGAGAGAGAGAGAGAGAGAGAGAGAGAGAGAGAGAGGTGAGAGAGAAACATTGATCGGTTGCCTCCAAAATGTGAGTGGGTCTTGAACCAGCAACCTTTTGGTGTACAGGACGATGCTCCAACCAACTCAGCCACCTGGCCAGAATGGGACATGATAAAGCTTTAGTATTTCATAGTCATATTTGATATTGAGTAGAAATGTTAACAGTGTGGGGTTAGAAAAGAGATGTATATACTGGTTATTAAGTACGACTAGAGGCCCGTTGCAGGAAGATTCCTGCAAGAATAGGGCTTCCTGCAGCCAGAGCGAAGCAGAAAAGGGAGTGAAACCCGCCAAGGCAGGCTTCACTCCCACCTCCGCCACTCCGCTTGCTTCTCCACAGCTTCCCTCCCTTCTGCAGCTCTTGGGTTCCTTCCATGTTGTCTTCAGTCTTCGCTCAGTGTCTGCATATGCAAATTAACTGCCATATTTGTTGGGTTAATTTGCATACTCGTCTGATTGGCTGGTGGGCATAGTGGAGTGACACCAATTTGCATGTTTCTCTTTTATTAGTGTAGATAGCACCATGTTTGAGTATGTTAAATTATTGAAATTAAAAAATTGCTGCTAATGATTAGGAAAATTTCTTATAAATATGATGTAAAGGGAATATTAAACTTAAGTTTTAATTTGTATGACTTATTTAGTTGCTCACAATAACACTGCATTGTAGTCAACACTTTAATATTCATAAAACAGTATTGAGTAGAACTTAATTTTTAATTTTTCTCCAATTTTCTTGAACTCAGTCTAATGCATTTACAATTCTTTTGCTTGATTTTTAACACTTAAGGAATACAATTTTTTAAATGTGACCACCAGAGAGCAATCCACTTGTACATGGCAGCTTTGGAAACAAACTGTAATTTTATTTCATTTCCTTGTCATTCATACGAAGATTACAAGACTGGTTCATGTATGGATTGTGACAACTTTAAAAATAAATCATGTCCTAGGTTAGGTAAGAGAGATTATTATAATTACTATAATTCTTTTTGGGAAATGTATAGCATAATTGTATTATTATTTGGCTGCTTCAAGCTTTCCTATTTATTTGTATGTCAACATTTTATGGAAAAATTATCTGTGTAGTAACCAGAAAAAAATAGTTCACTTTTTATTAAATATTTTTAATATGTGTAGTGAGGGGAACTTGATCAAATGCCTTTCTATTTTCAATAGAGTGGAAATATTTGGTGGCTTCATGATGACCCATGTTTTTTATATTCAAAAGGACTCATCTATTTGTCATCCATCTACTAGTATATTTCCACTAAAGAAAGAGCCTGGTGCATTCTTAGTGGCACTGAGTTTTTTTTTTGTTTGTTTGTTTGTTTGTTTGTTTTTTTGAAGCATCAGGTACAGGGACTTTGGATTGGTAACAAGAGGTCAAGCATCTCTTTGAGATGCACAGCACGTGGACTATTTCACCTGTGGCAGAATGCAAGAGAATGGAAATACTGCCATACAAATCTGTAAGAAGTTTACTAAAATTTAATGTGAATGTTAAAAGCCATGTATGAGCTACCATAATAATATAAAGCCTCTGGGAACTCCAAGTAAAAGGAATTTCACAAGCACTTGTAGACTCTATTCAACTGGTTTAGACTGGTTTCTCATGAGTATGCATTGTTATTTATTCATGCCTATATTTTCTAAATAAGCATCATAAAACTTATTT